CAAATGGAATGTGAGGAGGATAATGTGGAAGCTTTATGGGTAAATATCTGCTTGGGGGAAAAGAAGGGAAACCAACTATTGGTTGGGATATGTTATAAACAACCTAATGTTAATATTGACGAGGAACAACAGCTGTTTGAGCAAATTGAGAAAGCTGCAAATCTGGGTAACACTTTTATTATTGGAGATTTTAATTACCCGGATATAAATTGGGAGAGAGGGACTAGTGCCTCAACAAAGGGAATTAGGTTTTTAAACTTGTTAAATGACACCTTCATGTCACAACTTGTACAAGCACCAACTAGAATGGATGCTTGTCTGGACCTGGTTTTAACAAACAACGTTGATCTTTTGACCAACATTCAAGTAGGTGAGCACTTGGGAAATAGTGATCACAATATAGTGTCCTTTGAAATAAACTCAAAAAAACAAAAGCACATGGGGAATACTAAAACATATAATTTTAAAAAGGCCAATTTCAATAAGTTAAGGGAAGCTTTACAATATATTGACTGGCATAAACTCTTTAGTGAAAAGAACACTGAGGATAAATGGATCATCTTCCAACAAATATTACAAAGGTACATTTCTCAGTATGTACCGTTGGGAAATAAATATAAAAGAAACAAATTAAAACCAATGTGGCTTAGTAGAGAAGTAAAACAAGAGATTACAACTAAGAGAAGGGCATTTAAAGCATTTAAATCGGACAAATCAGATGCATCTTATAAAAGATATAAGGATGCAAATAATGCGTGCAAAAAGGCAATTAGACTTGCTAAACTTCAAAATGAAATAATGATAGCTGAAGAGAGCAAAACCAACCCCAAAGCATTTTTAAGTACATAAATTCTAAAAAAAAACAAAATGAAAGTGTAGGTACACTAAAAACTGAAACGGGGGTGTTAATTAATGAAGACCAGGAAAAGGCAGGAATTTTAAATAACTATTTCTCCTCCGTATATATTAAGGAAGAACCCATGGCAATAGATATGCAAATGATTGCTACTAAAAACTTGCAGAATAATTGTAATTGGTTAACTCAAGACAAGGTGCTGCAGCAACTAAAGAAAGTTAATATAAACAAAGCTCCAGGGCCTGACGGTATCCATCCACGTGTACTTAAGGAACTAAGTGTAGAAATAAATGAACCTCTGTTTTTAATCTTTCAAGATTCTTTTCTTTCAGGAAGTGTTCCTGAGGATTGGAGGAAGGCAGATGTGGTTCCTATATTCAAAAAGGGTTCAAAATCCTTGCCTGGAAATTATAGACCTGTGAGCTTAACTTCTGTGGCTGGTAAAATATTTGAAAGGTTATTAAGGGATAATATTCAAGAATTCCTTGAGAAGAACATGGTTATCAGCAAAAATCAGCATAGTTTTATGAAGCACAGGTCATGTCAAACTAACTTGATTGCGTTCTACGAAGAAGTAAGTAGAAGTATAGATCAGGGTATTGCCGTGGATGTGATCTATTTGGATTTTGCCAAGGCATTTGATACAGTTCCTCACAATAGATTAGTGTTCAAACTCAAGGAAATCGGTCTAGATGAAAATGCTCGTTCTTGGGTAGAACATTGGCTTAAAAACAGAGTACGAAGAGTTGTCATTAATGGTAAATTTTCAAGCTGGACAGAGGTGGCAAGTGGTGTCCCTCAGGGGTCTGTTCTGGGACCCCTTCTATTGCATGTTTATAAATGATCTTGAAGACAGCATTGAAAGTCATGTTTCAGTGTTTGCAGATGACACAAAACTTTGTAAAACAATACAATGTGAGCAAGATATTACTTTGCTGCAGAGGGATTTAGATAGACTGGGGGACTGGGCACTCAAATGGCAGATGAAATTTAATGTTGAAAAATGCAAAGTTATGCACTTGGCGTAAAGAATACACAAGCAACGTATACCCTTAATGGAAGCGAATTAGGGATAACAACACATGAAAAGGACTTGGGAATTGTTATAGACAACAAACTATACAACAATGTGCAATGTCAATCAGCAGTGGCCAAGGCCAGTAAGGTATTGTCATGCATGAAAAAGGGCATTCATTCTCGGGACAAGAATATAATTTTACCTCTTTATAAATCACTGGTAAGACCCCATATTGAATATGCTGTGCAATTTTGGGCACCTGTTCTAAAGAAGGATATTATGGCACTAGAAAAAGTGCAGAGGCGGGCTACAAAATTAATAAAAGGAATGGAACATATTGGCTATGAAGAAAGGTTAACAAATTTAAACCTATTTAGTTTAGAAAAACGTCGCCTGAGAGGGGATATGATAACATTATACAAATATATTAGGGCCAATACAAACCATTGTGTGGAAATCTATTCACAAACCGGACTTTACATAGGACACGAGGCCATGCGTTTAGACTGGAAGAAAGAAGATTTCGTCTAAGGCAAAGGAAAGGGTTTTTTTACTGTAAGAACAATCAGGATGTGGAATTCTCTGCCTGAGGAAGTGGTTTTATCAGAGTCCATACAGATGTTCAAACGGCTACTAGATGCATACTTGCAAGAACAGAATATTCAAGGATATAATCTTTCAATGTAGGGTAATAACTGCTTGATCCAAGGATAAATCTGACTGCCATTCTGGGGTCAAGAAGGATTTTTTTTCCTAGCTTGTTGCAAAATTGTGCTTCAAACTGGGTTTTTTTGCCTTCTTTTGGATCAACAGCAAAAAACTAATGTGAGATAGGCTGAACTTGATGGACGCAAGTCTCTTTTCAGCTATGTAACTATGTAATATATGGAGGTGCAGAAAATCACTTTATCATTATTGTTTCCCTGATTCTCAGCATCCTTTGCGCATTTGTCTGTCAAAGTCATGAGCGTGTACATAGTTTCTCATGCATGACTAGTGCTAGTTTACGTAAGACTGATATAGGTGAATTAGTGTGTGTCAGAGTGGTGCGTAAAAGGCAGAATGAAGGCAGAAGAAACTCCCCTAGCTGGGTGTGTTTGCTTACCGTTAAAAAAACCAAAAAACGTCATGTGATGCAGGTCCCTTATAAGCTTCAGGCTTTAGCTCACGTGGATTGGATCACTGTCTAAATTCACTTCAGGTGAGGCTAGTCCGTTGAAAAGCCTTGGGCCAAGGCTTAGCATTCCCATCCAGGGCATCCCCCTGCCTTATTCCCAACCACTGCATGCTTCTATTTACCAACTAAAATAAAAATTTACTTTGTTTTACTTGGACATGTCTGACTTGGGCATTCATTTTTCTGCTAGAGGTTATGTACAAAAATCTGCATCTTTTAAAATATGGGTTAATTCACGCTCTCATTACTCCTATAACATGTGTAGAAACATTACTTGCGTCCATTGGGGTTTGTATTAACAAACAGTGGACAATGTAAATGTTAGCTAGGTGTTTGTTTGATGTATTTATTGGGGTCATATAAATATACATGCGTTAATAAATACACATACATAATAAGATGATATTTTATCAGTGCCATATGCTATTTATTGTTATGTCCTGCATTTCCTTCATGCATGAAATGTTTGTTATGGCAATTTGTTATTGCTTATGGTCAGGGTGGACAAAAGCACTTGACAAACAGCAATGCTTATATTGCTTTTTCAGCATTAAGGTTGGTTCCATACAAACTAGGTCTCTGGAGTTTCACAAGTGACAGTTGCATGGACTGCACCAGATCTGTACACCTAAAATAATCTGAAATAAAGGTATCTATTTTTTATGTGCAAAGTCTTTTCAGAGGCAACTGGGTAATTAAATTTATCACATGCCACATTGATAAATGGGACACAGAAATTTCACACAGTAAGTAAACCTTTTAGTGGTGGCCGTAGGATGGCAAAATAGCCAAAATATTAACCTTTTGCTTATTTTATCACACATCTCATGTAATAGAATTGAGCCCCATATGGAATTCAAAGTGCAAACAATTCCACATCTTATCAAATTATGCTTTTCTATGTTAAATTCAAATGAGCAAAGATAATGACATTATTTATTATGTAATTACGTAGTCATATATTTCTATCTACAATGACAAACAGACAGATGTAGAGACTTTGCGCAATGAGCGTGGAAGAACAAATGTTGCTCTCACTTTTAAAGTCAAATCTAAAACAAATGTATTGTGTGCTTATTCATCCATTATTTGATCCATGGGGATGTTTTATTTTTTGTCATTCAATAAATTAAAAACATTTAGAATCGCTATACATGCGATTGCTCCAGGAAATGTTTTTCTACTGCTATTGTCATGACTATTTGTTGACTAGGACATAGGAATGTTGCATTACATTTTCTTCAGTTGAATTGAAAATATTACATTTTAAGACATAATGCCGTGTTCTCAAAAATGAATAATAGAAAAATAAGTGTATTCATTTATTTATTTTTTAATGCCAGGTTATAAGAAAATATATAAGCATATTATTTATATATTTATTTATTTTAATATTTAGGGATACACACTTTTTAAGTTGATTATAAACATTAAATAATACTTTTCCAACTATTTATTTTTAACAAATGCATTTTTTTTGTCAAGATCTGAGACAGGAACATCCAGTGTAAGCATATAGAGATCAGTTTTATATTTATACATGTAGCAAAAAACATCAATGTAGTTTTTGTCCATTTACAAATTGGACATAAGCTCTCATAAAAGTCATGTAGGCTGATGTCAAAGCAGACACTTACCTTTCCCGGGGTGCCCACAGCATCTTGGAGGCAGCTCACAGAGAGCTCCAGTGCCTTCTGCTTTCTATCTCCCTTCTTGCTCTAATGTCCAACAGGCTTTGCATGGCTGCTGCTTTGGCAACATGGTGGCCATCACATGGACGCCCACATGGCATTCAGGGAGGGCCGGGGAAGGGAAGATTTAAGAGACAGAGGGGAGCAGCTGAGGGCTAACCAAGAAGGAACCTAGTCACATCCACTCTTTCATAGTTTTTGTGGGCTCTATCTGCAGTCTGTGGGACTGGTCACATGACCATCACTACCAATAAATAGTCAAGCACTGCAGTTGGTCAGTGCTTGGTTGTTCTGGTCCTTGTCCTGGTTCCTGATCCTGGGGCTTAGTGGTGCTTGTTCCTGGTTCCTGATCTTGGGCCTCCTGCTTCTTGTTCCTGATCCTGGTTCTTGTACCTGGTTCCTAATCCTGGCTCTTGTTTCTGATCGTGGCTCCTGATCCTGGATCCTGATCCTGGCTCCTGGCTGTTGTTCTTGATCCTGGCTCTTTTTCCTGATCCTGGCTCCTGGTTCCTGATCCTGGCTCTTGTTCCTGATCCTGGCTCCTGGTTCATAATCCTGGCTCCTGGTTCCTGATCCTGGCTCCTGGCTCTTGTTCCTGGCTCTTGTTCCTAGTTCCTGATCTTGGCTGCCAGCCCTGACTATATGACCACCTGACATCTCTTCCTGTCTGCTTGTTTCTGGCTTACTTGATTCTTCTGTAAATAAAGGAACACATGCTCTTAGAGTTCTCCCAAGTTCCTGTATCACTTTCAGGCACGAGGGAGAGTCATGTCTGCATGGGCTTGCCGTTCCATTGCAACTGAGATCCTGAGCTAAGAATGAAAGAGGGAACAGAATGAAAGCCGAATGTTGGAAGGGAAGGAGCACTATTACGCTAGTGTTCATTTATTTTTCTGTGTAACTCAAGTGTGTAGTGATCACTTAGATTTAAGTAAATAGAATGAAAGAAAAAAAAAAGAGATATGTTTTCCAGACTACATTGAGAAGCCTTACTTCGGTATAAACAAAGATCAATGTAAAATGGAGTTAGTTTAGGGAGTTTCAAACAAAATAGAAAGAACAAACTGCAGTTATACAAAACTGACAAAGTTAAAACAACTATATATGTGTATTTTTCATTACAGAAACATGTGTTTTTGTGGCCATAACAGAATCATTTTAAAAGGATAATACATTTTTCAAATAAGTAGTTTTTTTTCATTCCAGTTGCTCTAAGAATCATTTATTCAGTTTAAAATATACAGTTAATTCATTATTGTATCTGTAAGAAGTTTTGCCTTGCTGTATAGTTACTTTCATTTATTGGCATATATACACATATTCTGCACATTCCGGTGCAGGTTTTTGTAATTTCAAAGCTCAAACATGCAAGGGACATAGGTTGAACAGAGCCTACATGTCTGTTTTGAATTGGAGGAATGCTACAAAAGAGGTACAAAAATGGCTGCTCCAAATAAAGGGGTTATGAGGAAACATTTAAAAAAAAAAAACAGTTACATGTATTTTGTATAATTTATAAATATATAATAAGAAAAAATAGCAACCAAGACTACAGTGCCAGAAGTTCAAAACGATTGTCCAAAAAAAAAATGGATATTAATTTATCCATTAAGTTAAAGTAAATGTATTTGTCATTCCTACTCGAAGATCTGACAGCATTTTGGTATTAGGATTGCAGCCTTGAAATTGCAACATAGTTTTTAAACTCTGGGACATTTGATGCTAACAAGTTTTCTTCGGTTGTGTAATTCCAATAGAACTTCATACCAGAATCCCACAATTGAGTCATTCCAATTCTGCATATGCAACAAACACATTTTTTTATCAGCTAAAATCAGATTAAAATCTTTAATGCGTTTGTTACATAAAAATATTGCTAAAAATATTTAGGAATTGTCAGCAAAATGTATGTGCCAGCTTTGCCTGTGCAGCAAGCCTAGCCATGAGTTACTTCAACCATAATAATATAATAGGAGTAATTTATTTACTACTCAGTTTAGAAAGGAGCTCATTGTTATTCACTAGCACATCTTGAGATTTAATCAACTGATGGATCTGGCCAGGACCTGCCTCTATATTAGTTGAATCTTCGCAGTCACAGATGGGGGGGCAATCAAGGTAGAGTTGATACTCCAGTAAGGAGTCTGGGAGAGACCTGGGACCTGGTACTGCTATGTGGTTTGGTTAGGGATATATAAACATTTTCCCTAGCTGGATCACATTGAGAATTCCAATGGACTAAGCCACTGACTGGGCTATATTGACAGACCAATTCCCACTTCTGTAAATGTCAAACCACTGCCTATATATGAAGATAGCCACATGGGAGAGATCATATCAGAAAGAGGACAATGTGGTCAATGATGTTGGGGAGGCTCCAAGTACCTAGTTCACATAGGATGCTGGAAACTCTTTCACCAAGTGTATATATGGCCTATTATAAATATACATATACACAAACTATTGACATGGATTACAAATGCCCGTGGTTGTGTTATTTTGCATTGTAAAAAATGCATTCTTAAGCTGCCCATATGGCACAATAGAGTAAAAAACTGATTTTTCTTTCTATCCATTACATTTTTGTGAAACATTTGGTAGAGTACAGTATGTTTAAAACTAAAATATTATTCAATATATAGCATTAGTTACACAATGTTAAGTGAGAAATATTTTTCACTATGTTTAGCTTGTCCATTTTCCGTGGCCAGAATAGCATTTTAATTTGATCATACATTTTTGAAATATCCATGGGATGTATGTTTTTATAATTGGTAATTAATGTAAACATTCATGAAAGGTACAGAAACATGCAATTAATGGAATATGAGGAACTTATGTGCAGTATAACAATTCTTAAAAACAGTTTGAACTTGTGAAATGCACCAATACATGAAAGTTATGCAGAGAATGTGTTTTGATTTAAAAGTAAATTATTGCCTTACAACAATTTATTTCAGTGAAAAATGTAATGATAATTCTTTGGAATATATATACCACTTTGGCATAAGTATTTAAACTTTTTGCTGTAACACTTGAAATTTAGTTTAGATGCATACCATTTCTCTG